AAAAAGAAAGAAAGAAACAAAGAAAGAAAGAAAGAAAGAAAGAAAGAGTGAAGGGGAGGGGAGGGCGGTGTGGAAAGGTAAAGAAAAGAAAAACAGCAGAGATTCTGCCCTAGTGAATCCTGGCCAGGAAATGGCTCATCATTCCTCTGTGGTCAGGACATTTCCCATTAATTGCGAATATAACCAAGTCTCATTTCAATATCCCTTTGTTCTGTGTGCAAGCAGAGAAAGAGAGAGAGAGAGAGTTGGGGATGGAACAACTGAGGTCTTTGAACCACCGAGCTAAGTCCCAGACCCTATACCTTTGTTCTTTGACATCCTCTATATTTCCTTTTTCACTGACTTTAACAGGGCTCTGTGTCTTTTTGGGTTTTTTTATTGCTGGGTCTTGTCATTTAATTTTTTATTAGTACATGTTTGCAATGCAAAAAGGCTACATTTATTATGGGGAGTTGGTACATGTGCCTAACAAGTCTTAATTCTTTTTTTTGTCCCCTTCCCCTCCCTGTTCCCTCCAATTCTGGGTCCCCTTCCCCTCAGCAAAAGTCCTATTTCTGTTTTTCTTTCCCTTAAATATTTTTCCCAATCCCTTCCTCTCCCTTCTCTCCCGTGCCTCCAAACTTCCTAATCTCTAAATGCTACCTAAATTCTCTCTTTTCACTCTGTTTCCTCATTTTTCTGCTTATCCTCATATTTCTTCCTTGTCATCCTCTCTTCAGTCTCAAGTAAATTGGTTGAAGTAGACTAGGCAAGCTAGGGATGGGTGATGCACACTTAGAATATCAGCTCCCTGGGAAGTTGAGGTGGGAGGACTGCACATTTGAGCCCAGACTGGGGAATTTAGCAACTTTAGTGAGATGCACTCTCAAAAAAAAAGGCCAGGCCAGGCTTAGTGGCAAACGTTTGTAATCCTAGAATTTGGGAGGCTGTGGCAAAAGGATCACTTAGAGTTTGAGGCCAGCTTGAGCTACACAGTGAGTTCAAGGTCAGTCTGAACTTCTACATGGTGAGAGCCTATCTCCAAAAAAAGGCTGGATCAATTTGAAGACCCTGGGTTCAGTCCCCAATATCTCAAATCAGTTAACCAGTCTATCCAGGCGTCATGGTACACACTTCTAATCCCAGCTACTCTAAAAGTTGAGAAAAAACCATAATTTGAAACTAGCCTGGGCAACATATTGAGACCCTGTTTCAAAAAACAAACAAAAAGGCCAGCCATGGAGGTGTACACTTGTGGTCCCAGAACTCAGCTGAGTCAGGAGGATCCTTGTGAGTTCAGTGCCACCCTGAAATACATAGTGAGGCCCTATCTCAAAACCAAAAAGAAAAAAATAATTTAAAAGCCTAGTTGAAGTAAACATTGATCAATTAAAGATTTCTAGTTTCAAACATTTTCAAACCAGTTTAAAATAGTTTTGGTAAACTATTACCAGTTTAGCCTGCCTAGCAGCTCAGTATTTCCATTACACTTAGGTGTAAACTCTACTATAAATATTTAAAAAGTACTATGAGGTTAAATCATGGCTAATTTTGCTTGTCACTTGTCCTACTTAAGGTTTCGCATTGCTAGGATAAAATAGCCAAGTTAAACGAGGAACAGTTTATTTCAGGTCCCGGTTTGTAAAAATTTCTCTCCGTCGTTGGGCAACGCCAAAGCAAAATGGTATTGCAGAGGGGAACCACAGAGGAGAAACAGTCTATGGCAGCGTAGGCGAGGGGGCGGGGAGCAGGACCAAACTCTCTAAGCCAGTTGGTTGGTGACACCATACCAATCAGTGGATTGATCCAATTACACCACCCTTAATCCAGTATCATGCGTTCCTGACCCGGTCACTGCCGAAGTGTCCCCCCACATCTCTGAATGCATAGGCTTTAGGTGGGGTGTTGAGATAGACACAAGCCCTTCTGCCATCTGTACTCATTGTTGCATCGATAAACCCAAGACATCTTGAAAGTGAAATCCTCGTGTGTCAGGCTTCATGTGTTAGCATGAGCTCTTACCTCTAGGGAAAATGTTTTTAATGAAATTATTTCACTTGTTACTGATGGATTTCTAGTGCTATTTGAAAAGTAATTCCAAATAAATATTAGTTTATAAAGCAGAATGTTTATATTAGGTTGCACAGGTCAGGAAGTGTCTATGCATGATTGATTGTTCATTCTGGTTTAGGTACAAGGTGTTAGGTGTAACGAGAGTTAGAAATGTCCAGGAGTGGTGGTGCCCGCCTGTAATCCCAGCGCTTCGGAAGCTGAGGCAGGAGGAGGGTAGTCATGAGTTTGGGGCCAGCCTGGGCTGCACAGTGAGTTCAAGGCCCACTTCATAGTGAGTTTGAGGCTAGCCTTAACTATAAAGAGTAAGACCCTGTCTCAGAACAAAGCAACAAAGCTAAGTAAAAGAAGAGTGGGAAGACTGCAACTGATGGGTAGAACCTGTGCTTCCACAGGGAGAGTCCTGTTTCCAGCTTACTGGAGCGGAAACTAGCCGATAGAAAGCAGAGAAACAAAGGAGAAGGAAACAGGATACATTGAAGGGAACTTTGCTTTTATCTTTTTTTTTTTTTTTTTTTTTTTTTTTTTTTTTTTACTATTGTAAGAAAAACATGTAGTTTGCAGTATTTAATGATTAAACTCGTTGAGGAGAGTTGGTACATGAACATAACAGGTGTTAATTCTTTGTAAGAATTCCCTCTCCCTTCCCAGGAAAATTTTTTAAGTAAATATGTATATCTATGACAACAATAAATTTATGTTATCCTTTACTGTAATCGAAGCAAAAAAAAAGAGGCACAAAATGAAATCAAATGGCTCAGAATGGGCTGGTGATGTACACCTATTATTCCAGCACTCTGGGAGATGGAGGCAGGAGGAGGCAAAGTTGAAGCCCAGTCTGGGCAATTTAGCAACCCAGCATGTTTCTCTAAAAATGTGCAAAGGGCTGGGAAGGAGGTCAGTGTGCACACCCTGGGTTCAGGCCCTGGTTCTGCCAGGAGGGCAGACTGCAAGGATGTGACTTCTCCCACCCGCCCCTCTCCACCCTGCAGGTCTGCACTCTGACCCGGGAAGACAACCGCTCCCTGGGTGTCGTCCCCGAGGAGGAGCAGCTCCACGTCCTCCCACTGTACAAGCTCTCCGACACGGATGAGTTTGGCTCCAAGGAAGGTATGGAAGCCAAGATCCGATCAGGGGCCGTACAGGTCCTCCAGCCCACACGCAGGAAGAGGATGCGGTTCACACAGCCCGTGCCTCGCTCGGGGAAGAAGCGGGCGGCAATGATGACTGAGGTTCTGGAGCGCAAGATCAGGGCAGTGGAGAAGAAGCAGAGTCCTAGGGTCAAGCGGAAGAACAACTCTGTCATGGCTAACAACAGCAAGGCAACGTTGCTGCCCATCCCAGGTGAGCCCAGGACCTACCTGTCTCCTCTGTGGCCTTGCGTGGGCCGAGGTTTCAGACTTCCCTTGTACCTGCTGTTGTCTCTTCTATGTCTTTGCTCCCCACTTAGAGATGAGCCAGTATGAGAGAAGATGGTAGTTCACTAGTTACTTTTTAATTGTTTAAGACAAGGTTTCACTATATGTTCCAGGCTAGCCTTGAACTCATAACGTAGCCCACGCTGTCCTCAAACTTGTGGTGATCCTCCTGCCTCAGCCTCCGGAGTACTGGGATTACAGGCATGTTCGAACACTCCTGCCTAACTAGAATCTCATTTGACATTTGTTATTTATTATACTTTGTTCTAGGGTTAAAACTAAGACACAATATATTTCTGCACATGTACTGGAGTTAACAGTTAACAAAGAAGCTACACACAGCTTTTTGGGGTCTTGTGTCTGTAAATTCCCTGTTTATCGTCAAGTTCTACATACTCTTCTTGGCATAGATGAAACAACACTTCCTGGAAGCCTTCTTTGGTCTTATGTGGCACCATCTGCGTGCTGTGGTGTGAGTGGTCTGTGTGCTGGAGACACAGCAGCCAGGGGGAGGGAGGTACTGTCGCCAGGGCTATATCTAGCTGGGTTGGCTGGAGGTTTGCTGCAAATGCAGCTTTTGAAGAAAGTGCTGCGTAACGAGTCCGCAGTGTGATCTTTGGAGAAGCAGTGTTCCAGTAGAGGAAACAGCAAGCACTAGGTCTGTGTGTTGGACTTGGGCAGGGATCAGCCTGGCTCAGAATGTGAACCAGAAGTAGTAGGGGAGAAGGTCACAGAATTAAGCAGATGCCCAGCAATTCGCCTGGGTTTTGTGGACCAGCCTGCCTTGTGAGTCTCAGGAACGTTACTGATGGCGCCATACCACAGCGAAGTTTCATCAGGCTTCGACATAAACCCACTTACTAGGTGGAAACCATAATGAAATGGAGCAGACAATAGAAACATTAGGGAAATCATAAAAAGTCCCTCCTACTGACAGGGACAGGATGGAGCTCCAGAGTAGCTAGCTGACTAGCTAATGAATGAGGATGTGAGAAATGTACGGTTCAGATGTGTTTGTGTGTTTTGTTTTTGTTTGAGACAGGATCTCACCGTGTAACCCATGATGGCCTTAGGCCCAAAGCAATTCTTCTGCCTCAACTTCCTGAGTGGTGGGATTATAGGATTGTAACACCACAGAGGATGTTTTGAAGAGAAATTCAAAGCCGGGCATGGTGGTGCATGCCTGTAATCCCAGCACTTGGAGGCTGAGGCAGGACGATCACTGTGAGTTCGAGACAAGCCTGGGCTACATAGTGAGTTCTAGGTCAGTCTTAACTACATAGTGAGACCCTGTCTCAAAAAAAAACCAAATAAATAAATAAATAAAACTTCAAGAAGATTCTTGGTATATCAAATATAGTTAGCTGGATGCGGTGTCATACACCTATAAGCACTGACAAGGCTGAGGCAGGAGGATCTCTGTGAGTCAGAGACCAGCCTGGGTCACATAGTGAATTCAAGGCCAGCCTGAACCTAGAAGGGTGCAGGAACTGTAAACTGATGAAAAGTGGGGAGTGAAGAACAGGTTTGGAGAAGGAGACGGGAAGGCAAGAGCTCACATTTTGACATGTCCGAAGGAGGTGTAAGAAGTTGGAAGATAATATTTAGAGGACAGCAAGCTCTGAGGCAGTATTTCAAGCAATGAAACCAAAAGAGTTACAAGCAAAATTTAAGCCAAGACCTGGGAATTGTGGATTTCTAGAGGTTTTGGAAGTGAGGAGGAGGCAGCCAGAGAGACTTAGAAGGTCTAGCCAGGCAGGAGTGAAACTAGGTTGTCCTGATTCAAGAGCAAACATTCAGATTGTTAGTGTTCCTAGGAAAGTGACTCAGAAGACAGGTATCACCATTTTATAACAGCAGTGCTTACAACAAAAGAAGTACAAAAACATCCTAGTGGTGCCATTGCTGCAGGGGAAGGAGAGTCCTCAGGGAAGAGTGCTCTCCTAGCATGCACAAGGCCCTAGGTTCAATCCCCCCACACCGAGGAAGAAACAAAAAACTGCCCCATTTGTCATCTAGCTTTTTTTTTTTTTTTTTTTTTTTTTGGTATGTTTCAGCCAATATCTAAGGAAAGACCATATATTATATGATGTCGATATCTCTTAGCCCTCTCTTTTTGTGTCACTTTTTATTTTCTCTTCATTTTACTTTTTTAAACAGCATAGAAAGAATCCTAAGCATAATTTGCCCACTTATGTTTCTTCACGTCTGGGAGAATTTAATGTCTGATAGTTTCATTTTGTGATATTCATATTGATCCATGGGTCAAATGTTGCTGACCTGATTTATTGATTATAAAGTTTATTAGCTTTTTACTTACTTGTTCAGGAAACATTCATGATCTTTGACTATAGTCTTTTAAAAAGAAAGATTGTCCTTATCAATAATTTGGTAAAAAAAAGCAACATAAATGCATAAGGTAGTGTGGTGGTGCATGCCTATTTTTCCTAACGCTCTGGGAAGCTGAGGCAGGAGAATCACAATTTCGAGCCCAACCTGGGCAAGTTAGTTATTTAGTGAAACCCTATCAAAGATGAAAACTTAAAGAAAAAACAAAGGACTAGGGACGTAGCTAGGTGCAAAAGGCTCAGTTCCTATTACCAAAAAACGAAAAGCTTGGTTATTTGCCTTTTTTCAGAACACAGGTTGGTTTTCAAATATCTTCCAGTGTAATCAGCTTGGGAACTGTATCATTTCATTTTCAAAAAGTTTGAACAGGGCTTATTTGTTGGTGCATATTGATTCCCCCCACACACACCCAACAAAATTCTAAAATATTTCAAAATGTTCAGATCTTTTCCTCTTCGGTATGTAGAAACCCCTGAAGCCGGCTTAGGAATTCTTTTATTGCGATCTTGATTGTCTTCAATAACTTTCTTAGCTTCTGTTACAAGATGTTGCCGGTTCATGTAATTCTGCCTCATATCTAAAACCAGCCATTTATCTAAAGAGTCCACGGCGGGTAAATGAATTGATGCTGACTTTCACACGGAGTTACAGGGAAGGCTGGGGTGTGGCTAAGTAGTAGAGCATGTACAGAGCATGCGCAAGGCCTCAGGTTCAGCCCCCAGAACCCATCCCCCACAAAAGAATCACAGAGTATTCCTTAGACTGACTCCTTCATTTTCATATCTGAAACACAGGTCTTCTGTTTTTTTATAAGATGAAACAATAAAATAACAGGCATTATTTTATGCTAGAAAAGATGTAGCAGAGATAACTAAAAGTGAATCAGTTACCATTCTTTCTTGGTTGTAGCTCCATTCATTTGTTTGTTTATATATTTTTATTTATAACTGATATTTAACTTTTACTGCTAGACTCATACCCAGTTCCATGCTGCTAACGATGAACAATCTGATCATTTTCATCCTGTGTCAATCATTCGTCTTCACTGGTATCCCTATGTATAGGTTAAATGCTGCTAAAATGTGAATGTAGGGTTGGGGATTTAGCTTAGTGGATCCGCTGCCTGCCTCACAAGTGCAAGGACCTGAGTTCAATCCCCTGTACCAAAAAACAAACAAATAACAACCATAAAATATGAATGTCTTTTGGATGTCATTTTCTTAGCCAGATTCTTCTATTGTTGTCTTATATTAGTACAAAATGAACAATATTTCACCCATGTTCTCCAGTCCTTTTGTAATTTTACCTATACAATTTTTTTTACATCCACCTAAATAAAAGACACATTAATCTTTTAATATTTTTCCTTAGCTAGGTGTGATGGCACATGCCGGTAATCCCAGCACTCAGAAGGCTGAGGCAAAAGGATCACCACAAGTTGGAGCCCAGCCTGGGCTACATAGTGAGACCCTATGTCAAAAAAAATTTTTTTTTTCTTTCTAATAATTCACATATGTTGACAATTTAATTTCAATGATGATGCCACTGATAGTTGCATAAGCTTCCTCAGATAATGCTGCGTGTCTGTGTCTGTGTGTGTGTGTGTGTGTGTGTGTGTGTGTGTGTGTGTGTGTGTGTTTTACTAGGGATTGAACTCAGGGTCTTTGCACTGAGCTACATTTCCAACCCTTTTTGTTTTTATTTTGAGATAGGATTTTCCTAAACTGTCCAAACTGGTCTCCAAAATTTTAATCTTCTAACCTCAGCCTCCCAAAATGCTGGGATTACAGGCATGCGCCCCAATTCCTGGTAATAATACTATTTTTGTTTTGGTTTGGTTTACGGTTTTTCATTTTTGTTTTTTGAGAAAGAGTCTCACTGTGTAGCTCAGGCTGGCCTTCGATTTGTAGCAATCCTTCTGCTCCAGCGTTCGGAGTGTTGGGATTACAGGCGCAAACCACCAGGCCTAGCCAGGTAAATTTTTTTTTAATTCTTCTACATTTTGGCAAATCACATCGACTTCATTAAGTATTTCTTCCACTGGGGTAATTCTTACATATAAATGTCTCTAGGAATGAAAGCCTTCTTGTCTCCTCCCATTGTGTCATCTGAAAAGAGAATTTCAGAGCTGAAGCTGAACAAGTTTTATTGTTAGGCTACTAATTATTTCAAAACACAGCTGCTTTACTTTTTTTCATATTGGTGCTAAAGCTTATGGTTTTTGCATTTGCAAAAAAAATAGAGCTTCAATAGAAATAGAAATGTTTCCTGTATCTTCAGCATGTGTTTCCATTTGTTGAGGCCTATGATAATATGTCAGAGTAAATTACCTACAATTACCTATGTGGTAGTAATGATCTACCTGCCTAGCATCCCTACCTATTTCTTGTTCCTTTGCAACTACAAAATTTTATATTCTTCTTCTCCAATAATTGACCGTACAAGTCATGAAGCTTTTATTACACAGAAATATTTATAAACTATTTCTTGTTTTTCCTTTTCAAAAATCAAATCATGAAATACCTAAAAGGTACTGAACCATCTCTTTGGGTATTTGGTGTTCTGGGTCATTGTGTCAACCTCTGCATAGTTATTCGTGTTTAGTTGGAGTTTACCTTTATCCAATTAGGCGATTTTTAATACTTTACCCTTTTGAGCAGTGAATATTTACCCTTTTGGCTAAATCTTGTAAGAATGTAAGGAAAATAGTTGGATGAGAAAGTATATCAAGGCTGAGGGCGTATAGCTCAGTAGTAGAGCTCTAGCGTTTATGCTCCGGGCCCTAGTTTCAGTCATCAGCACTGGGGAGAAAAATATTATAAAACCCTTTAAAGCTGACAATTACCATCCAGGCTGGATGGCTCTTGCCTATAATCCCAAAACCCGGAAGGCTGAGGCAGGCGTATCACTGAGTGTTCAAGGCCAGCCTGAACTGCAGAGCGAGACCCTGCCTCCAAAAACCAGAAAAATTTGTGTTCATTTTCACACTTGCTGCCTCTTTCTGTTTAGGGAATAATAGACAATGCGACCGGAATAAAAAGTGAAACTAAACCCCATTTTATCTTCAAAGGTTCAGAGAACACTAAAAGCTATTCATCGGTCCCATCCATTCCTCACCCTGTGAAAGAGGCAAACCTGTCTCCAGTCTTCTGTCCCCTGAAGCCTCCTCCCTTGACAGCACCTGCAGTTAGGTACCCTAAGATAGGCTCGCTCGCGTTCCCGGGGAGAAGCAGCGCTGCCCCCTGCACCACGCCTCCCGCGAGACCGGCAGGGGAGAGCGCAGCAGCTCCTGTCCCCGCCCTGTCCCCGCCCGTGCCCGAGCC